AACAATCCTAAAGCATACCAATCAATTCTGAGAAACTCACAAAAAGCATCTCAAACTAAAACAGGGTTGTACATCTCACCAGGTGCTAGGCTAAAATCAAAAGATGCACTAAATGGGAAAGTTACCAACAAACCTGCAATACTGCTAAAATCAGAATCAACAAGTTTAGGCCCTAATAGCAACCTTAGGCAAAACTCCCTGATGGCAGCTATATCAAAACATTCCACACAGTAGTTACAAAGTATGGCCAGCAAAAAAAATATGTATACTAGATGGCCTTTGGTACAAGCAAAAATATCCACATCACAATCCATAATACTTCAACAGAATAAGTTTACCAACTTAAGGCAATGATGGGTTTACAAACTCAAAAAAGACTTCTAGCATAATAATACCTATATGCATATCATGGTTGAAATTGGGCAGACCCCCCCTAACATAATCAAAACATCAAATGACATGTGTCCACACTTCAGAATGCTCACATATATCATGAATTTGAAAATTAGTGCACTGTGGTAAAACTTGGAAAAAATCTGCCTTGGCAAGAGTTGAGACAGCAGGTGATTTCTTTAAAGCAATGAGTTTTTTTGAAGGAATCAATGCTATGCATATGTTACATATATGATAAAAGATGATACCAAACTCAGAAAGTAGTTGAAAACCTAATCAAACAAAAAAAAGCATTTTGGGGCTTCAAGGCATACAAACACAATACTTGAAATATGCAGCCAACTATAACCATGACATTTGGAGAATTTGGGATCATGCACAAGTCTTAAATGTATATGATGAAGATTTAATGCACACAAATCATGTAAACAATGCTTGAAACAGAAAAATGACTTATTGACCTCATGGTATTTTGAACAAATGCAACAACTTGGGGTATGATATGTCAAATTGAACTTTGGGTAGATTTCAAGCATACCAACAACACACACACTCTTGAAATGGATAGGCAAGTGTGTTCACAACCTCAAGTTATGCACAAACTCAATAAATCAAAGAAAGACATATTAAATGGGACAACAAAAAGCACATATGAAAACATCATAATGAGCAAAAGGCCACATTGATTCATATATGATTAAAGGCAAAAAGGAGGATCTATGAGCAACTTACAAGTCATCTACCTATCCTAATAGTGAGCCAAGTTCATAGTTATAGGGCAAGCATACTACTTTTTCAAGTTTGGATCCTAAAACTACCAAGTGACCAAAATATTACTAACAAACCTAAACATGATAATAAGGCACAAACTTACAATCTAACATCCACATATCATTTACAAATGATAAAATATTTGACAAAACAAGCATTATGAACATAAAAATAGGATTCTTGACAAAGAAACCTAATAGGGCAGCCATGGTACATTTTCACACAAATCACCACAAAGTGATAATACATGACAATGTATGACTTAGAGATAGTTAGAACACTACATACCTCTTGTTGACCAGCCTTGAACAAGCAAAAAAAAATTAGAAACCCAGAGACGTTCCTTCCTTTGCAATGATATGAAGCTTACTTCCTCTTGAAGCAACAAGACCAAACTTCGAGACAGTTGAAGTTAATGGATTTCCAGCTGGTTTTCAATGCCTTAGACAATTATAATATGATGTATGTGATGTGTGTGAATGGTTTAAACAGGTGGAAAAGGCCTATGTAGTGATTTGGCTCTTAAAATGCATAAAAGTCAAAATATGGGGTGTGAGGGTTGACTTTTAGATTGGTGGATTTTTTGAGAAATGTAACAATGGTAACAGCTTCAAATGGACATTTTAAAGTTGTATGAATGGTCTTTGAAGTGTTTTTGGGTTTAGACAAAGGATTGGTGTGAAAAATGGAAAGTGGCTAATTTAGTGTTTTTGTGACTTTTCTTCACTTACAAGCAAGAAGGGAAAGAAGGAGAACTATATGTTTATGATGCTTGGGATAGTTCTGGTGTGAAAAATAGAGTGTGGAGAAACCTCTATTTATAGGCCATGAGGAGCTTGGGGCAGATTTAGTTTTTCACCACTTTTGGAGGGAGATTTGAGATTTTCAAGTGAATCTTGCCAAATCTTTGTAGCAGCTCCAACACATCAGCTCCATGGACCAATGCTGAGCCAATATCAGCTGAGATGGGAAGGATGGGATGGCTATGGAGATAGGGGACTGCAGCTGCCCAACTTTGCTTGAAAAAGTTTCTCTTTCATGGTTTTAATGATTATTTTAATATCCACTTGTTACCAACTTGCCATGCTCATCAAACTAACTCCTTTTCTGGTTTTCTCCTCATCCACACCTCACATTATCAGTTTGAATTACAATCCAAGGGTTGAGGATAGTCCAAGTTGTGAAAAACTGATTTTGAGAAGCTTGGCCAAAGTAATTTTAAGTGTGACAGGCCCAACTTCCATGTACCATAACTCTTAGCTCACAAATCCTCTTGAGGAGTTCATGTAGCTCCACAACTTTCATGTTTTGGGAATTTCCAAATTCTTGATGGAGCTAGGTTGAAAAACCCTTCAAAGTTCTGAAAAAGTGGTTTGTATGACCAAAATTTGTGAAATTTCACTAAGTCCTTTACCCTTGAAAAATGATTTTTGCTATAACTCCAATTCCATGCAATTTTTGAATATGGAACATTGTGGGACTTTTGTAGGGTTTGTCAAGACCTTTCAAACAAGCTTAGAACCACTTCAATTGGATGTGTGGTTGAGGAGTTATGGTCTTGCCCCTTTCGAAACCCTAATTCCCGATTTTTGCAATTACTTCCTAACCCTTGATCGAATGGTCATGAAATTTTATAGGGAGGTGTAATATGATATAAGGAACATTTTTCATTCACACCTTGAAGTCAAATTCCTTATTGTTGGAGAGTTGACCTTTCGGTCAACCGTTTGATCGATCGGTGTCTACCGAGTCGCCCGTTGGTGATCCGGACATCCTGAGGACTTGAAACTCTTTGGATGGACTTTACTAAGCCATAGGAGCTTAATGGACTTTGATCCCACCATTGAAATACTCTTTGAATCAAAAGTCAAACTACAGTTGACTTTTTCTAATCGAAAACCCTAATCGGGTATCTCAAATTGCACTGTTCTCAATCCCCGGGTGACCACCTTAAATTGAAATTATTCTTAATCCAATGTAACATCCTCGATCTTGTTTGAAGTTGGATCAATCCAAAACACTGATTGATCAAACCATTGAAGCCTCAATTTTGACGGTACGGAACCCTAATTCATCTGCATCCTAACAAAGATAAACTGAAAATGGGTTAAGGTTAATTAATCAAGTGAATATGATCCTATAATGATGATGAGGATCTAAGGGGTCAAAATTTGGGGTGCAACTGGTACCACCTATAGATTTAGCTGGCGACACACGTTTTGATTCATTTTAATTTCTTGTTTAAACGGACAAATAATTGTATTTAATTATGTCTCGATACAAATGAAGTGTTATATATTTACCTTTTGTTTATATTTTGTCTTTATACATTTTTTATCTTCCCAATAACAACATTAAACATTTTGTAGATGAAGAACAAAGGTTCTAGATCTGTCTGATACTGGTTCAGGAGAATTTCCAAAGATGCATATCCGAAACAAGATAATAGGGTGCGGTTCCGGAGATATATCTCCGGAATCAATATGGCAATTAATGAATGGTCCAAGTTGATCTATGACTTCTATAAATTGAGGTACTTTAATGCTATATTTCACACAAACTGAAAATGTCTCAAATGTTACAAGTAAACTTCAATATATGTCGCAAATGTGTCCTTCTCCGACTCTACACCTGCCCGAACGTTCAAACTCGCCGACTTCACCTCTCTCGAAGATATCAAAGATGAAATTCACCATCTCCTACCTTATTGAGACAATCGAAATATTGTGAAGCTCGAGTGCCGTTCAACATCAATTGATAACGGAGGGAACATTGAGCTCAACAAATTTGAGCTCAAGACGCAAGCAGGTGTTAGGGCTATGTGGAATACACATTTCCGTTTCGAAATTTTTTTTCCGCTCGAGTTGGAAGCGACGCTACAAAGATCGGTTGAAAATATTCTGAAGATGTGCAAGCGTCCACCGGAATATTGAAATGTGATATTTAATTTTATATTAAAATCATCATTGTAATGTTCATTTTATATTATGAATGTCAATTTCATTTTTGAAAATTACTTTTCTCTTAAATCTGAAACCGGTGTGCCTCCGGAGATGTCACTACAAAAATATTTCGGAGATGTATCTCTGAAATAAATTAAATCATAAAAAGGGCATAATTTAAAATAATTTTTGTTGAGTGAGCGCTAGAGTGCGTCTAAAAATATATCTCCAAAATTATAAAGTATTTGTGAAAATTCATATGGTATATTAAAAATATCTAAGGTACGATAAGAAATTATGTTTATTAATTTGAAGTTGGCTTTAGGCTTTTAAACGGGCTTGTGATTGTGAAACGTGTTTTCAATGTACTCATTCAATTCCAATATCTCTAGTGTATATGTATTTCACACTACAATTTGCTGTGCATTTGTCTCATTCAAATCCTGTTTTAGCAGCTATGTAGCTTCTGTTTTTGCAGCTATCTAGCTCCTCAGTATGCAATTTCTGGCCATTTTCATAGATGAACAAAACATGATTCATGTTCTATCAAACTTTTCATGAGTAAATGGGACCAAAGGTCTAAACAAACAAAACATAAAGCCTCTAAGGAACTAGATCCCAACATAGTCCCCTAAGAGATGCAACTAAAGAAAATCAAGAATGCAATAACAGAAAGGCCAGACTAATAATGCCAAGACTACATTACACAATATTACAAATACATGGATCAACGTTCAAACATGCAATTCCATCAAGAGTTACATTACACTTACTTCTAAACACAAAAACTTTCTTCATTGTTCAATTATCACTCTTCACTCATGATTAACAAAAAAACAAAATACACTAATTCAAGTCAAACTAATAATACTCTAGTCTTCTCCTACCATGTCCTCAAACACCAGCAAATTTCCCTAACCTTTCTCTTAAAATCTTCACTCCCATGTACCTGTCAGACACAAGTATACTATTATTTATAAACTATTTTCGGCTTTTTTCGATAAAATATTAATGAAAATGGAGTCATCGATGCTTTCGGTAATCCCGGTGTACATACCTGCCCATCATCATGACAGTAGCTTGAGGATTAGTTCCTGGTGACTCGGTAAACGTGGAGCCATCTACGACACGAAGCCTGTTAACACCGAGAACCTTATGATCCGAGTCGATAACCTTTCCAACATGGCATCCGCCGTGATAATGCCAAATAGTGATCACAGTGTCTCTACAAAACTGCTCAAGTGATTCTGTGTCATTGATATGCTTTGGTATAAGGTTAACATTAGCCTTCACAGTGTTGTTAAGAAACTGTTCTGTGGTTTGTCTCTCACACAAAGTAAGGTTTGTGAAATGCTTTGACTGAACAACTTTTGAGGCTAACCGGATTCCTTCGACGCAGCGATCAAGATCGTAAGGGTGACTAAAGTAGTTGAATGAAACGGAAGGGTTGTCGTCTACATTTGTGTTGATCAATTTAAGATCACCGGTCGACCATGGATTGGCAACTTTTGATAAGATAAAGCCTCCCTTGAATGCTTCAATTGGAATGTCTCTTTTGTTCTTTGCAAAAGCCTTAACCGCTTCCGTTGTTCTTTGTTTCGGTGGAATCGTCGAAAGCTGGCCAATCTGGTTTATCATAACATCATGCAAAATTGTTCAATATCAATTCAAATCACACAATCGCGTAAATTAATCGATGACAAACATACCTCGGCCGACAACAAACCATGATGACAATGAATGCTTTCATTTGTCTGTCCAAACCCGCAGCTAGCTTCAATATACACACCCTTATCAGTAATACCAACCGTCTCTATCAACGACTGCTTAACCGGTTTCTTAAGCGGAACAAATATCGTGTTCATCGGGTTATCAGCCATACCCTTCCCAACAAATCTGTTATCAAGCACCACAGAAATGTTCAACTTCTCGAGTTCTTCTCTCGGACCAATTCCACTGAGCAACAGCATCTGAGGCGTCCCAATCGCGCCGCTCGTCACAATCACTTCACTTTGCATATCATCTCCTAGTATTGCCTTATGCATTTTCCCATTTTCATCCTTGAAATTTACTCCTACAGCTTTTGGTCTTTTTCCTGCAACAATAGTGTCTCAGATAAATCAGGTCAGTTGGTAGCTGTGTAAGGATATCAGATACAAAACAACATCAAATATTGCAAAAATGTGTTTACTTGTTGTATCAAAAACAATGTTTTGGACAGTAGCATAGATCAAAACAGTGAGTTTGTTAGGATTTCCAGAAGAAAGCAATTCAGCAGCAGTGTGGCGTCGACCGAATCTGTCGAAAATGGTTCCACCAACTTTGGTTCCATATTTATGTTCATAGGTGAATCCATTGAAAGGTGACACACCAACATCTAGAAGACCATCTCTCAATGCTCTTTGCCAATGTGAAAATGTTGGACGATGAACAATCTGTTTTTCAATCCAAGGGTATGACTCATTTACTAGCTTTGTATCCCACCCCATTTTCTCTATAAATCTGCATTTTACAGCAAAGAAAATGTTACTGAAACAAAAACATATAATAAAGGATTTACATTCATGTTCTTGATATTTAATAACTTGCTGTGTTAAGAGTCCCACATTGGACAATATATGACATTAATATGTGTTTATAAGTGGGGGCAATCCTCACTCTACCCACCGATTTTGTAGAGTTGAGTTATACCCAATTACATTTCTTAACATGCTCTCAAAGAGTCTGTACTAGATCACCGACTATAGACAAAAAACATTTAAGTTTTTCTGAACAACTTATTTAAATAAACATGAATAACTTTATAATATTTATATTATATTTTGTATTTGAAATTAAAATACAAAAATAAAATTTAGTTATTTCAAACAATTTATGAAAATAAATTAAAAAAATCTTACGAACAACAATGTCAGTATTACAAAATTTATGATAATAGATAAACTTAAATAGTTAAATAAAACAAATATTTATTCTCGTTGATATTTGAATTTGGTAGTCAATTTAATATTAGATGGATTGTATATTTACAAATTATTAATGAAATAAGTTTTTAAGTAGTTTAATAAGACTTTTGAAAAAGTCAGACTCCGACTTAAAAATAAATTTATGATAGACCACACTATCAAACTTAAACTTTGAATATTTTTAATATATCCGACTCAGACTTAAAAAAATATAATTTGCCTTAAATTATTTCCACCCCTAACAAAGGGTAAAAATTAGCATTTAATTAATTGATGAAATGTAAGAAGAAAACTTATAATTGTAGTCATAAATAAATGTTAGCATTTAATTAATTGATGAAATGTAAGAAGAAAACTTATAATTGTAGTCATAAATAAATGTTCTCTATACCTGTATATAAAGGAAAAATATGATTTTGGTGTAGTTTTTTTTTCTTTCAAATATACTCTTTTTGATTTTTATTTTAAATTTTAATTTCTCTTTTTAACAAATGGTAATTATGTGATGATTTATTATCTTTTATACCATTATCTACTACTATTATTTTAAAAATAATAAATAATAAAATAAAAATTAATTAAAAATAATAATAATATAATTTATATTTTACACGCTTAAATATTATAAAAAAACGGACCGTGGACGCTAATAAATATAAATACAATTTCATAGGGTCCAGCTAACAACAATAACTTCACTTAAAGCGAATATATGTCTTTCACATTAATAAAAATATGGTTAATTAGTTAATAGTGAAAATGTGAGTCTAAAAAATTAGTAATAAAAGATATGAATAATGTATATTTCTATAATCATTTTTAAAAAAATGCAGCATGAAAATATTAATGATACTAGGGAAAATCAATGTCGACACAATAACTCTTAACAAGATACCGTATATTTATGTTTGATGGTTGAAAGGAGACAAACATATTTATATTTATAATGATAAGACCAACACTCATCTTATCTCATTCATTTTTATTTTTAAATTATGCAAAAATAATTTTATATTTTAATTAAATACACCTCTAAATTGCTTCATATTTGTATATCAAAACAAAAAATATTTTTAAAAAAATCCTTATGAAAAATAATATTTAATAAAAACAATTGAATACAATTTTTTATTATAATTTTTTTATATCCTTTCAAATTCTCATTTTTCAGAAATCTATAAGAAAAACTAATAAAAATTTTGCCTACAAAATTTATGATAATAAAATAAACTTTAAGGATGTCGTATATATATATATCGTTAAATAAGTAAATCTGTGATATTCTATTTATTTATCTATAAATAATAAAATTTTTAATACTACTACATATTGAAAGAAAAACAATGTAAGTAACTTTGCACAAAGCTAAATGAGTAGTACTAATATACCTTGAGCTTGCTCTAGTGTAGAAGCCAGCATTAATGGAGCTACCACCCCCTAAAACCCTAGCTCTTGCATTAAAAACTCCATCAGTTGAAATGAAGAATTGTGAAGCTGAAGTTGGTGAAGTATCAGCCAATGCAATATGAAAGTTGTCAAGAAATGACACATTAGGGTTTGTGAAAGGAACACCCCCTCTTTCAAGTAACAAGACATTGAATTTCTTTGAAAGTGTTGCAGCTAAAGGACACCCTGCTGTTCCACCACCTACTATTATGTAGTCATAACCATTGTTTGTGTTGGTGGTTGAAATTGATGGTGGAGATTCAAATGAACTCGCTTTTCTTATAAATGGATATTTATATTTATTAATATTTTCCCACTTCTCTTTACCTGCAAATAAACTTCAAATTAGTTTTCTATAGATGTAGAGAACAACGAAAAAAATTAATACAAAGTGGTAATAATCACTAGAAACAATCTCATATAAATATAAAATAATTGATATTGTCATTGTATTAATAATAAATATTTTTTCACATTTTTATTTATAAAATAATATCTTTTTAAAATTACTAAACAACATGTTTTACTATAATAATGAAAAAAAGTATTAAAAAAACGAATCTGTTTCAAAACTAACAAATTGATTTTTGTTGTCTTAGATTCAATCATGATTCATGTCTTTATCTATGTACATGTTCTTGAAGTAAAACACCATAGGTTTATGCCACATGTACTACATTTTCATGTTCCAAGAACACTGGACAGCAAAAAGAAAACCTTACAATGAGAGACACATGTGGAATTTCAACTAATAAACCTATGACAAATAATGCATAGAAGGTGGGGGAAAAACCTTGGCATAGAGGTAGGAAGTTGATGAGGCATATTATTGAGAAAGAGAGCAGGAATTTGGCAGCACCAAGTGATGCCATTGGGCATAGAAGAACAAAGAAAAGCACTCACTCTGGTTTGAAACCTCTAAGTGTCTTCTTGTGGTTGGTCTTGTTTAGTGTGTGCACGACACAACAAATATAAATAATAAGATAGGAATATCCTAGTATAATCGTTAGGCAAAATTAAGATATGTATTAATGTATCATTAATATTATGACAAGTGTGGGTCATTTGCTATTAGGATACCCAACTACCTATTGTACTTTTTTCAGTCAATAATTAATAATATATATATATATATATATATATATATATATATATATATATATATATATATATATATATATATATATATATATATATATATATATATATATATATATATATATATATATATATATATATATATATATATATATATATATATATATATATATATATATATATATATATATATATATATGAGTTAGTTGGTGCTTGGGTCTAGATGAGAGGCCGACTTTAGAGAGACCTATAACTTAAACTATTTAATTTTAATATAGTCTAACCTATTTAATATTAAGGTTGGAATTAAAATTTTTTTAAACTCTATTTAATAAATAGGTTAGACTTAACTATTTAAAAAGTTTATAAAATCTTATAATTAAGCTGATCTAAATATACAAGTTTGTTAAAAATTAGGTTAAATAGTATATAAATGGCCATGTTATCTATTTAAATATTTTTATGTAAAATTACTATTTAAATATTTTTATGTAAAACATACTATTTGAAATATGAAATAGATTTTAAACGTTTTTTTAGGTTAGATTAATCTTTTAAAAATGTCAGACCAATAAAAAAAAGACTATAATAAACTATAAATTAGACTTAATTTTTAAAAATTTATCATAAGTCACATTGTCTATTATATTCTCACCGCTATTATTCGTATATCTCAATATCTAGATATCTATCTATATATTTTTTATTTATTAAATTTTTTTTACCGCTACATTAGTTTACCAGAATATTTAGCAAAAGTGTTTTGGTAATAAACTTTTTTAATTCTTAATGTATTAGAACACTTGTAAAAGAGTTTAAGTAGACAAATTTTAAAATTTTAATATATTGAAAAACATTGGTAAAAAAGTTCTGGTAACTAAATTTTTAATTTTTAATATACCAAATAACTTAATTAAAGTTTTTTGATAGTTTTCGAAGTGCTTTTTTTGATAAAAATGTTTTTTTTTGTAGTTTTCAAACTGCTCACTGAACAACTTAATTAAAGTGTTTTGGTAGTTTTTTTTTTTCAAAGTTATATACTTTAGGCAACGTTTATAACGTGACCCAAAGTGGTGTAGTTAGTAAAAAAAGTTTGGAGTGAAAATGGTTATTCACTTTAAACCACTCGTTTCTTGTGTTGTCTAAACTTGTTATATTTATGCTTCTCGGATGCCTTACATAAAGACTATTGATTCAAATTTGTTGCTTTAGACAACGTTTTAAAAATGTTGCTAAAAGTGTAATTGGTTATAGGCAAACTTTAAACCATTTTTTTTTGAAAATAAAGTACTTTATTAATAAAAAAATGTCACTAAATACAAGCGATTCCAACGGATCCAGCTACAAAGCAAAACAACCCTGAACTAAAAGGGAAAAATAAACTACTAACTATCTATACTCCCTCTATCATTCAGATAGCTATATACTTTCTAATTTTCTTAGTATTCCATCCTCTATACACCAGAGTATCTATTATTTTCCTTCCTATTGTATTGATCTCAGTCGTCTCTCCAAATTTTTTGTTATTTTTAGCTTTCCAAATCTCATATATGCTCTCAGAAATTGCCATTTTTATGACTGCAACTCTGCCTCCTTTACCTTTGGTTTGCTGAATAAGCCATTTCACCTCACTATGCCAACTTCCAGGGTTATGGTTAATTTGTGTCCATCCTAGGATCTCTTTCCATACGTTCTTTAGACTTTCACACTCAAAAAATAAATGGTTTAATGTTTCTTCCTTCGCACAGAAGCAACACGTACTATTATCAATCATATCGTACTTAAGCAATTTGTCTTTCGTTGCTAATCTCCTATGGCAAGCAAGCCACAAAATGAAATTGGCTCTCGGTCTTGCGTTATTCCCATAAACCAAATTCTTTCACTCTACCGGCTGCCCACACTCGTGTAGTTTCGCATACAATCTGCTCATTTTAATTTTTCCTCCCATCATTAGTTCTTTCAGATTTCCCAAGTTTTTAAACTCTTCCCTTAGATTGAACACACTTTTTATAATCCAGGAATCACTCTTTTTACAATGGACCTCCATCAGTTCATCGGTTTTGATGTAATACATTTGTATCCATTTAACCCAAAGCGAATCTTCTTTCCCACTCAAATTCCATAACAACTTCATCAAAGTTGTTTTATTCCACACTTCAATGTCGATGACATTCAATCCACCATGATTGCATGGTCTACAAACCTGTTTCCACGCCAAGAGTGCTTTACGGCTCCCTTCGAAACCTCCTGCCCAGAGGAATATGCGACAAATCGATTCAATTTTCTGTATAACAGTTTTGGGGAATGGGAAACAAGTTAGCCAGTAATTTGTTAGCGCAAACGTAACATAATTTATGAGTTGAAGCGTCCCCGCGTATGTCAACAACCGAGCAGTCCAATATTTTATCCTGCCCACAATTTTGTCTATTAATGGCGCATAATGGTGTACAGAGAGTTTTTTTTACCTGTAACCGGAACTCCCAGATATTTAAAAGGGAGTCGACCTTCTTGGAACCCCGAGACTTAAACATTCTGCCTTGTCAATTCATCCATGCCATCACAATAAATATGACACTTCTGTGGATTCACTGCAAGACCTGTAGCCTTCAAAAACTTCCCATAAGTCTTCATCATCATTTCAACCGAAACCTTATCTCCCTTGGAAAACATAAGCAAGTCGTCCGCAAAGCAAAGGTTTGTGATTTTCAATTTATCGCATTTAGGGTGATAATTGAAATCACAATCTTCCTGTATCTTGTATAAGTATTTGTTCAAGCATTCCATCACAATGACAAATAGCATAGGTGATATAGGATCACCTTGCCTAAGCCCCCGTTTCGCTGCCATGATGTCAGTTTGATACCCGTTTACGTTAAATCTATAAGAAACTGTTGATACCATTGTCATCACCCATTTAGTGAACTGTTGTGGGCATCCCACCTCATTCAAAATCTTTTCAAGCGCATTCCAATCAACCGTATCATACGCTTTTTGAATGTCCATTTGCATTAAACATCGGGGAGACATATTCTTCCTTTCGTATCCTTTAATCAATTCATACGTGATTAGAATATGGTTATGAATTCTCTGCCCTTTGACAAGCGCTGCTTGATTTGCACCTATTATCGTTCCTAGTACTTTGCTGAGTCGATTGGCCAAAATCTTTGATATGATTTTGTACAGGGTACTACAACACGCAATAGATCAATAGTCTTGTATCTCTTTCGCACCCTTGTGCTTAGGAATTAAAGTGACAATAGAGCAATTAGCAGCTCTGTACATACAGTTATTCTTGAAAAAATCTTGTACGACTGCTATAACATCCAGTTTAATGATATTCCAAGCTTTCTTGTAAAAATAGGCTCCAAAATTATCAATTCCAGGTGCCTTATCATTACCAATGCCTTTTAGAGCAATGGTGATTTCATCTTCGGTTACTTTAAACCACTTTTCTTATGTTGCATAAACTTCTTTTTTTATAAATTTTCTAGACAACTTATAAAAAATGATTTGGAATATAATTTTTTTTCTTTTAAATATGAATTATCTATTTAAAAATATTTTAATCAAATTGAATGAATCCTAGGAATAGAAAAATAATTGTTGAGGAATGGGATAACATTTTCTTATTTTAATGAGTCAATGAATTTAATGTCTAAAATTTTTTATTTTAAAAAAGAACGGGGTGTATTACGTAAAAGTCCAACAAAATTTAAAAATATTAACAATGGACTAACTAATTCACCTTTTTAAAGTTAAAATAAAAAACAAAAAAAATTCAAATAATAAAAAATGAGACAAACTCATTTACTTCGACTCCCTCTAAATTAATTCATTTTGTTAACAATCTCATATTGAATTGAGATAGAAGAGGGATTTTCATAACCTTAAAATCTCGATTTGTTCGATTAGACCACCAACCTGTGTTCAACATAAGGGAGTATGTCAGTTTCTTGCATTAAATTATTTTTTTATTAATTAATCAAGTAATGAAAAATTTATTTTTTAGAATTAAATACATAAAATATCATGGATTCAAAAAGTCTATATATTATATTTCAGTCTTAAGTTATAAATTATTTGCAAAAAAAATAGTTACAAATTATATATCACTTTACAATTTTAATGACTATATTTTTAGAATATATTTTCTTTCAAGTCTTTTAATTTCTCAAAAGACATAAAGTCTTATATTTTTTTTTTTATAAAAAATTAATTATGTTTTTTTAATTCGTGTGAAATATTCAAAATACCGTATATATAATAATAATAATAATAATAATAATAATAATAATAATAATAATAATAATAATAATAATAAATAATGAATCAAAATTATTATAAACTCACACACAAAATAGAGTACAAACTTTTGTGTTGTCATCCAATCCATCAAAATATGTTGGAACTTGTTTACATTTCAATATAGGAATATATTTGAAAAAATTTCTTAAATTTCACATTATTTGCTACGCAAAGGTTCATGTCATCGACATGTCTGTTTATGCACAATTTTAGAAATATTTGACATTATTTCTGATTTTTTTAAATTCAAGTGGGAGGTTGTTGAAACATGTTTAAATTCCAACATAGGGATGAATTTGAAAGAAAAAAAATCCTTAAGTCTAACATTGTTAAAAAACTATGTGTTTTGTATGTTAATTGAGAAAACTTTATGTCTCATGTTGCTTACTCTACACACTAAAGTTAGTTTTCAACATTATGTAAGAAAAAAAATTAAAAATTCTAAGTATCACATTGATTTAATTATTTA